GGAAGAGCTTCTTTCTTTCCACCATTAAATAGGAAGTGTGTAAACTTAATGAGGCATTTAACCTGGAAATCTAAAGTTTAGTGATGCGAATACTTTCACTGAGGAAGCTATCAATAACGTAATTCTGGCTAGATGCAAGAGAGTGAGGCCTCTAACCAATAAAAAGCATTCAACCAGCCCAGGACCCTATAATTTAGAAAGGGGAAAGGATGAAGTGAGTGTGGGAAAAACTGCTCAGTGAACATAAGCAAGCTTGCACATTTAAAGAGTCATTAAAAGAAAGAAAAAAAAATTAAGAGAAGCCACAGCAGGATGACAACCTCCTACTCTAATGCGAGTGATGGACATAACATCAAAATTAACTGATGGGAAACATGCACCTGAACTCCTACACTTGCCCTTTAACAATGAATGCTCTCATACTGTCAAGTAAAAGAATAAAGAGTGACTGAAAAACAGACTTAACAATAAGTTTTAATGAGATGCTGACAGACTTCTAAGATGATACCAAATTCAGTTGGCCTTGCCACCTAAAAAACTGTAGCATTTCTGAGCTGCAGCCCTTCTTCTCCCCTCCACCCTTTTGAGATGGTTTGCAGAATACTTCAAAAGGGACAGAAAGTGAATTAAAATACTATCTGAGGATGCTATCATTTAGGACAAAGTCAGATTCCATTTATTTATCAGAAGAAAAGCTTCCATGATAGGAAACAAAAAAAAAAAAGTTTATATTATATAAACTCTACTACATAGAAATACTCTATACACAGAATTTATAAATATCAAAGGGCTTGTTCTTTTTCTGCCTCCCTAAGATGTATTTTCATTCCTTCCCTCTTGCTATATAGAGTTATAAAAAAGCCACCCAGAGGTTCAAGTAAAACGCTATTCAAAGCACAAAATAAGGTATTTATTGATGTATAAAAATGGAAACAGATAGAGATCACATAACAAGATGCATCTTTATAGGATTACCTTCTTAAACCATTCACAAGTTCTGCAAATGATTTTTCCCAAGCATACATCTTTATTATCTTCATACCGCTTATGACTTCATTCATGGTCCTAATCCTGACATCTGTAAAGGCAGCTGTCTTGCTTCTGTAATTACCAGAAAATAAAAATTCTCAGATTCTCAAAAGAAGAGAGAGTATTATCACATGATATACTCATTTTAATGTGATTTTTTTACTTTTTCTTGAAAAGAAGATTCATAGAATTGTAATAGCACTAAAGGTTTTTCCTAAAACAGTATCTTACAGCTGACAGCAGCAGAAAGATTTGGTATGTCTGTATTTACAGCATTACTTATTCTCAGGGAACTGACAGTTAATTCAGTGTTCAGAATTATTATTTCAGTGTGGGCGAACACACGGTGTCCCTTAAACAACATATTTACATACCAAAAAAAAGCTCTTCAATTAAAAAAATACATATCCAAATCCTTAATTTAGAACTACACAAAAATTATTTTAAAAAGCTGGTTCTGAAATGCCAAAATAACAACCTCTCTCAAAAGGCTATTTTGATGTCAAAGAAAATGGCCTCTGTTTTTATCTTGTTAAGGCTAACCCTACTTGAACCAAAGATTACACAATAATAGTGCATCAACTGCAGTTTAAGAGAGAAAATCCAGATATGCTTTTGTTTCAATAAACAAACAAATAACCTTTAACTGTTCCGGGAGCAGTTCCAGTTAAGAACGTGCATTAAGGCGCTGTTAAAGATGAAAGTATAAACTCAGCTTTTTCAACCGACAGAAGAATCTAAAATATTGATTTTTAGGCTTTTAAAAGCTAATTGACATTCCTACTTTCTCAGAATAGGGATTACAAGCCAGAAATGTTTTCATCACTGAACAGTTCCCATAGTTAAGTCCAGCAGTTATTCAAATCTCTGTGTGCGCGCATGCGCGTGGGTGTGTGTTCATGTGTGTATATACACACATACAAACATACATACCCTTTATTTAAAAAGAAAAAAGAAATTACAATAGAAAAGAAATCTGCTTATTAGTCTATAATGTGTTACAAGCGTTTGCAATTAACACTGAATGAAACAAAATCTATTTTGGTCCTCGTTATATTTGCACTGCTGACTAAATTGAAAAACGTGTGTGTGCATGTATGTATATATATGTATATGCATGTGTGTGCGTGTGTGAGAGAAACTGTGAGAGAGCATAAGAGAGAGTGTATAAAATGAAATTAAACAATCAAGTTACAATGTTACTTAGGAAAAAAGCATTTAAAGTTAGAAGCCCGTAAAACCACAACGATGTGCACTGCGACTCTGAATTCATTCCTGTAGACAAACATACTTAGCATATAAAGAGTGGGCTATAGTAGGCCTTATTTGGATAAATCGTACCTTTTTTCCCCAAATTATATAACTGTATACATAGTCAATGAAAGTCAGGTTTAGGAACCATATTAATATGGTTTTTAACAATGTTTTCCAAAAAGGCTTGCAGAGTCTTGTCAGTTCATCCCGTCCTCTAGAATTTCTCTGCTACTCTGGAAGCAATCGCCATGTTCGAAGTTTCAGTTAAACTGAAAGAATTTCAGGCAACTGCCTGGCATTTTCAACTGACTCCTCAGCACCAGTGTTCCAGAAATGTCAGGATAACTGAAGCAACATATGAAGAAATACTTGAAAAATGATAGAAGAAACATAGAGAAGTGGCCCTGATGTAATCAAAATGTCTTAGTAAGACTGAAGATAGCTTAGCCTAAATCAGCCTTACTGACATGGAACAAGATTATATTAGCTAAGTTCTTTTTTCAAAAAGAAACAGCAAAAGAAAAAAAGTCCTCCAAGAATTTGAGAGCTTCTCCTTTCGTGCCCATATACATGCACCACCAACGCAAGAGACAAAATTCAGAATATGCTGTTCATATCTCTACAGTAAATAATTATTATCACCTGCAATCTTCTGAAATAGTCACCTTTAGACCTAACTTACACGCTTGGTCTCAAAGATAACAGTAGGTTGAAGGGGATCAAAAAAAAAAGTATTTCTTTTTAAGGTATTTCTTTTTTTTAAAGCAACAGTTCTCAAAGAATAACATTTCAGTAGGAAAATTTAAAAATTAGTTCATCACAGCAAAATAAGCATCCTCTTACGAATTGCTTTAAAATGTTCAAGAGTCTTGGGGTTTTTTTAGTTACACTCCTCTACATTGCAAAAACTGATTTTGGACATACATACCACAAGCCATTGGACCGTCAGACAGCCACTGAACCATCTCAGTGGTTATATAGTCGGAAGTATGCAGGGTTCAAATGCACTGATGCCATTTTGCAGTGGTAGAAGACATTCTCCCAGTTTTTAAAAGAGTAAGCTCAGAGAACACACAGATTAGGATAACTGGGAAGCACACGGTCACGGAGCATGCTTAAGGGCACAACAGCGAAGGACCTGAAGGTTTCTTTAAGAGTCTCAAATGTCCAAGAAGTCCTCCTCTATGACAGTAATTACTATTTTGTAAGTTAAGTTGTCAAATTTCTTTTGCTTCCATCAGGCATATTCAGTGGGTTCCGATCATGTTTAACCCAGTAGTTCCACATAAAGCTATTTTTTCTTTTAAAAAGATGTAACTTACAGATTAGAAAGTGCTTTAAATGAGACTATTACAATAGCATGGCAAAGCACTGAATGGCTCAAGCTCTTACGAATATATATAACACAGTCTTCACCTCGATAATTGAACTATCTCTAAAATATCATGTATGAGGTATATTCTGTACAACTTTTAGTACTTATGCAGAAAAAAGCAATATCGAGTAATACGGTGTATACTGTTCCATGTAATACAGAGTCCATTTCTGCAAGCTCCTACAGCACTGAAGCTAATGGAAGTTTCTGCAATATAAACTGATGTGCATATATGTGCTTACAACACTGGGCCACAAGTATAATGCTGAATAATAGCACAAATTATCTGTCACACTGAGCATGCCTGGATTTTAGCAAAAGCTTTAATCCTTAAATTACTTCTTCATAGGCCGGTTTCCTTAAACCCATGCAGGTTCCCAGCAATTGCCAAGTGAACACAAACATCATTACAGGGCTCGAATCCATTTTACTTTTTCCATTAACTCTTTCCATTCATTGGGCTACAAAGATCTGTGCACATGTATGCAGCCAGAAGTTTTGCTGGTTAAGAAAGTCTTTTTCTTGCATTGCATTTCAACAAGTGGCTGTTAATGCCGGGGGGGGGGGGGGGGGGGGGGGGGGAGTGAAT